TACCATTGATTTTATTCTATTTTAATGTCTAATCAAACAAAGTAATTCTTATTCCAGTACGGATTCTTAATTTCAACCAAACAATAGAATATCAGTCCTATTCCTATTCTAATTCTATTCCATTATGATTCCTATTACTATTCTAATTCCATTCCGTGAACCAAACGCCCCCTAATAGTAATGCATGTGTATCCGTAAATAGAAAGGTAAAATAATAATATGTACCAAACCAACCTAATTTTCATAAATAGTGTTGTTAGGTCTTTCTAAAATAGCAACACAAGGACACGAAGAAAAAATTCTGTGTGTGATATTTCCTAAAAATAAGGATCAGACTTCAAGTACTAAAGGAACAAGGGCTTTATCAATAATCTAATAAAAAGAAAAATCTATTAACACAAGTATGTTGAGTAAGATACCGAGTGGAGCTGCAACTAAGAGCCCCTAACTATTAAATCCAAGATGAGCATGTGAGAGAAACAAGTTTCAAGTGCTGCATTGACAAAATGTTCACTTCTGCTTCACTATGTTCATCTGACTCACTGAGTCCACATGTTATATTTCCGGGATTATTGTCTTTAGACAAGTACGCGCTTACTTCACCATCGGGGAGCTGATAAGGTGCCTTCTCCAACTTCTTTAAACATTGCAAGATATACATCTTTTCATATTCAAACTCTAGTATTGAAGAATTCAAATTATCTTCGTCCGTGTTCTCAAAGGAATTACATGCATCTTCAACTTTTGTTGCCGTTATAAGATCTTTCTCCACTGCAACTGTATTTCGAGTTATATCCACTCCAATATCTGTTATCACATCACAGCTTGTCTCAGCTGGAATCTCTAGTACTCGTTCATCCAGAAACTTCTTCCTATATAATTCAAGCTCTGCTTCCAGATCTTGTATCTCTTTTTCCTTCTCAACGCATTTCTCTCTTCCTCCAGCTCCCTATACAAAGCAGTCATAAGTTTCTTATCATGCTCAACCTGTCGTTTCAACCAGTCTACTACAGTCTCACCCTCAATTTCACTGACAATGCTTCCATCCAGAGACAGAACAGATCATTCCTTTCAAGTGAGATCCTCTTTTGAAGTATTTGAATCCCAATAGAGTTAGAAGAATCCGAAGTCTTTAAATCATCAGTATTTATAGACAATTTAGGACTAATTTCATTCATTGGTTGCTCTATCCCTCGAGTAACAGACAACTGTGATAGTAAGAGTTTCAAATCCTTCCCAATCAATTGCTCTGCAAGCAAACCAGAGAGTTGTTTTCCTCTATTTCCAACAGCTAGCTTATAAGCATCACCAAGATCCAATAAATTGGATAATTCTGTCCATAGTCACTTGCAACAGGTGGGTTTCTTTCTAGACCTGATTCGCTTGCTGTGCTAGGCGTAACTCCTTCCTTAAAGACATCCCCACATTCAGCCAGAGATGTGTCCCCAACTTGATCAGTCCTTGTAATATCTATTGAGAGAAATCATCACAAACGTGAGAAAAAGACAGTAAAGTCAATCAACTGTAGGGAACAACAAACTGATGAAGTGCTTTAGGCAGAAGTTTTCCACGGGAAATAATAACAAACTAATCTTCACAAGTCCCACCGAAAAAA